CGTATGCATCCGGTAACCATAGCAGTTTATAGGTGGCTCATCCGGCGTTGCAGGAGTGTGAGTATATGCCAGAACCCACTGTTGGGGTGGTTCATGGACACCCCTGAACATCTCAAAGGCTATCAATAGAAGCCCAGAAAGGGGGTCCTGGCATAGAGACTGGTGGTGTTCATCCTCCTTCGTCCCTTGGAAGAGTCCTTTTCAGCACCGTGGACATCCTGAACTCGGTGGTGAATCCGGTGGTGCATACCGTCGGGACTGCGGCCCGCCAAAACCCCTGGTATTGAATCAGCACGGTTACATGGAGTGAGGGGCCAAGACCGCCTGCTTGGCGCTTGCGCTTGAAATGGGCAATCCTTTCGGCGACTATGCCTTTCACTTCGATTCCTTCCAGGGCTCCGAACGGCTCACCTCAGAAGATGGGGCAGGGGTTGGTGACCTCTGGGTCCAACCACCTACTTTTGAGGTGGGCCAGGCCGTTCGGAGCCCCAGGGATAGAACTCTATCTTCATCCGATATAGCACATGCGATGTTATGCTCTCCGGCTTGATGATGGTTCTTACATCCTACTTATGATTGACTAGCAGCTACGGTCGCTAGCCCCTTTGATCCAAGCCGAAGTCTTAGTTTCGAACCACGGCAGAAGAGTGGGTTTTCGATGATGTGCACACATTGCCACCTATGGCTAGTAAGACGTGATCATCAATATATAATATATATATAGAGTCAGAATTACTGTTTTGCCCACTCACCCTCCACATCCAACACTGACAGGTCTTCAATGAATGTAACGTACGTTAATTGGGTTGCCGGGTTGGTTATATGGACCCCTCATGATGTACCCTAAAAAGGCCTCGATACCTTGCAATGTTCCGTCACTGGACGTCACTGGAACCCATGCTGAGACTCTTGATGAATGACTCCCCATCTCCTCAGATGCTTGGGCCATCCTTAGTTGCTTGCATCTCTAAGGGAGGAGCTGGGAGTTTAATCTACCCACCTGCAGGCTCAAACTCATGAGCATCATTGAAGATGGAGCTGTAGTATTTGATGCCTTCTCCAAACACAACACCGGCGGATTTTAGGAGCTCGCTGGGGACCTGAAATTTGTGTGTACTTGGAGGCCGTCGTCTTGAAAAGAAGGAGGACCTTCCGTGTCATGAGCCATTGGATGCGATGGGTGTCTTTTCTGAGGAAGTGGAAGGTGGAGATCGAGCTTTGGCAGCCCAGGAGCTTTGTGGGTTCCCGGCCCGACAGGGCCACCGTGGGCCGTTTGCGGCGGGGAGTGTGGTCGATGATGTTACCCAGGCCATGTCAGGTGTGAAAGAGTACATCGACCGTTAAAACAGGTTTAAAAAAAACCAGACGCTCCATGGGACTGCCATATATGCCGATCAGTTGGGGTGGTGCCAGGGGGGTCAATGGGGCGGCATATATGCCAGTCCCATGGAGTGTATGGGGAAGAACGCACCGACCCACGCACGACAACCCAGACACGACCCATGGGCCACCATGAGACTGCCGGGACGGACTGCCGAGTTTCACGGCCGATCGGGCTGGTTGACTGGGGGGTCAATGGGGTGGCATATATGGAATATGATGGAATACATGGAGTGTCTGGGACATATTCTGCATACTGTTTGGATATGTTTGGATTATTTGTGGTGTTGTTGGGCCAGGGGCTCCGGGTGGTCAGTGCAGCATTGACTTCCAACGCTTAGGTCGACGTTCACCGTTGAACGGAATCACTTTGGCGTCCGATCGCTCCTAGTAGTAAGGCCAGGAGCTCCTATAGTGGCTTCTTGTTCCTAGTAGCGATGCCAGGAGCCCCTAGTAGCGTCCTTGCCACTGATTTTGCTGCGATCACCCCTCAACACTCCATGTGGGCATTGCATGACCGACATGCGTTCGGTGGAAAGGAGTGGAGTTTGGTATCCAGAGTGAGCGTAGGACTTGAAGAGTATATATACTGCCCTAAGAATCAAGGACCCTCAAAGGTGAAGGTTTTGAGGGTCCAAACCCCTGCTACGCAGGGTCAAAACCTTCCATAGGAGGGTCCAATGATGGTTAGGGATGTTTAGGGTGTATATATGATTTGAAGTGTTTGGGAGTCTTACGGAGGTGCGCTTGGCATGGGAACCTGTTCCTTTTTGACAGAAACAGGGAAAGAGATGTGCTCCAATGTCTCCACTGCACGTCGCCGGGTGCCGAGGATGTGAAGGGCCGCAAGATCTACGGCGGCTGCTTCGGTTCTCAGGTCGAAGCGGAACTCAAAGCCCAGGCAGAACACTGGTAGACCGCGCAGACCTCGCGCGTCGCGTGACGCGTGTTGTGGTTTGTTCGTCCTGCGCGCGTGGTGATGTGTTGTTTGATGTGTGTTTTGTTGCATCATCCTTCGTCTGAACCAGGGAGCGGATGCATGGCCCTGTCAAAGGCCATCTTCCAAGCACATGGTTGTTTTCCACTTCCATGTTTGTCGGAAGTGGGGAGTCAGAATTTTGGAGACTTCTTAGGGCCTCAGCATGCCTCAGCTTCCTTTCATCTGATATGGCTGTGGATCATGGCACGCGGATCCCTGGTCACCAAGGTAGGTTGACCTGACCTCCTGTTGGGTCATCCATTCTGTTCATTTTCTCTGGTCAACCCCGGTAGCCCGGTGCACTGACCCACACCCATCCATATCCCCTCAAAACCAACTGACTTCGGCCAGGCATGCGGGCCTTCTCCTCGTCGCCACACCGCCTTCGGTCCGGTCCGGTCAGGAGATGTGGCGCCACGCGGTTCCTCACGCCACGGAGGATCCGGTGCCAGTGCCCAGCAGACCGGTGCCTCGGTCGTGTGCTGGTGTGTGTTAAGACATCTTCAAGTATTGCGGACTCTCCACCATACCGTTTCTCACCTTCCTTCCCATCGTGGCAATTGAGTTAACTGAAAACCAATGTCAGAGTGTGTATAGCTCAAACAACAGGGGCGACCGATGGGACGGCAGCCCGACCAGGGTTCGGTGAATAGGGAAGCACCAGGAAAGAATGGCCCAGTGGGGCCAGAGGTACCACCACGTCGGGAGGCTGGAGTGACATCCTCAAGTTCCGGAACAAGTCCACATCATTGGCTTGGGGAACTTTAAAGAAGATTTTGATTTTTAATTCACTTTCCCACAAACTGACTCTTTTGGGTTGTGCTCTCTGATGGACCCCGATGACACAATCGGGTGCATCAAGACTGAACTTGCCCGTCCTGGATTACGATCTTTTATTGGCAGCACCACTGAGGTGCGAGTCCAACAATTGGAAATCGCATTGGTCGACCCACGGGGGGAACATTCAAAGGCTTGGTACGCCTCGTGTTTTTTTATGGTTTGATTCGTCTTTCGACCATACCCACGTATGACGAACCAGTGGTGAAAATTCAAAAGGGGCCTCCTCCTCCTCCCAGCAGGTTTTGTGTTTTCTCATGTCCTCTCCCCGCATCATGTCTGACCTTGTCGACTACAGGAGTGTTGCCAGCGTCAACCTTGTCTGCACGCACAGCAAGAGGTACTGTCTCCCACTATCCACTCATGAGGAGAGGAGGTTGGCACAACGCTTAGAACTGGCCTACAAGGCACTTCCGCGATGCACCAGGTCGAGTGGAGCATGACTCTGGCTCCTACCTTCTCTTCTGGCAGGTCCAGCAACATCACCAGGTGGCGCAGGGATGTTGGGTTGTGGTTCTTAGAGACCTCCTCTAGATCAACACTCTCTCAAGTCGTGACGTCACAGTGACGCGGAAGTCCACATCAACCCACTTCAAGACAGTGTTGACTGAGAGCCTACCACTTGCTGCTGATGGGCTTCGCTACATTCCTGGCTTCATCAACCATGAGAGCCTACCTTCTCGGCACAAGGTGAGGAGAACCCCTTCTCCATCACGACCAGGATCAACGCTGATGGTTCTGGCTTCGACCACTTTTTCCTTGGACAAGGGCTCACTGAGCCGCTCTGCGCCTGGCCATGCGCATGTTCAACTTCTTGGTCCCCCAAGGCCCTCAATCAAGTAGAGCAACAGGTAGGTGTGCAGCATTTGCTCTTGACTCCCTACGGCCTTGTTGCCAGGTCTTCTTCTGGTCCTGAACTCATGTCCAAGGGGTCTTCCTGAAGCAAGCGTTGTGTTGGTCTTGGCCATGACTTGCTCGCACTCGCCTGGCAGGGCTACGTAGTTGGCTTGGACAGAGACGCCAACAGTGTTGCTGTTGCAACACGCCACCTTGCCGTTGCTGAGCTACTTGATGATGTGATCCTCATCCAACTTGACTTCTTCAGTCTCTCACCTACCCAACTTTTGCAACAAGCTGCTGAGAAGTTCGGTAGCCCTGTCCGAAGGGTCTAGCTTGATCCTTTCTGGTTTCCTCGCCACAACTTCTCGCTTGAGAACTAGTCCTTCCGAGGGCTTCTTCAGTGGCTTGTTGACCATTTGAACGACGAGTTGCTAGTCATCTGTTTTGCGGGCAACTCAACACTGGGTCCAGCCACCACTTCTGCCTGTCACCTACGTCCGCACTACGTCCCATGTTGATGAACGGTTCATGTACTGGCGGTGTGCGAAGGCTGTTGCTGCACAAGTTGGCCCTGATCTCACGCTTGCACGCCGACGGCAGTGTTCCCCCCCAAAACTCAACCGCCAGTTCCGGACGGCAGTGTTCCCTGCCGGACCTTAACCGCGAGTCAGAAGATATGCCAGATAGAACGCCAGAAAGAATGTCAGAAGATTTGCGATATGCCAGAAAGATTAGCAGAAAGAAGTTAGAAGAGATGCCAGAAAGAATGTCAGAAGATGTGCCAGAAAGAATGCCAGAAGATATGCTAGAAAGGATGTCAGAAGATATGCCAGAAAGAATGCCAGGAGAAATGCGAGAAGGAATGTCAGAAGATATGCCAGAAAGAATGTCAGGAGATATCAGGAGGTATTAGATATGCCGGAAGGAAAGTCAGAAAGACCTCAACCAGTTCCGGACGGCAGTGTTCCCTTCCGCGAGTAAGGAGATATGCCAGACAGAACGCGAGAAAGAATGTCAGAAGATATGCAGAAGATGCCAGGGACGTCAGAAAGAGTGTCAAAAGATATGCAAGAAATAATTTCAGAAGAGATGCCACAAAGAATGTCAGAAGATGTGCCAGATGCCAGAAAGAGTGCCAGAAAGAATGCTGATTGAAATGTCATGGTGGGGATCACTCGGAGTGAATTTATTTTTTCGAATAGTTTGAGGACGTGTCCTCACCAGGACCTTCCAAGAGGTGGTGTGACCAGAGGTGGTTCTAGAAGTGATCAGCGCTGGGTCCATGGGCCGGGTGGTTGAAGGCTTTGTTGGAAGATTAACGGCTATGCTTGAGGAAGTTGGAAATGTATTGCCATATATGAGCTAGGCCCTAGATAGGCTCAAAATTAGTGAGAGTGACGAGTAGTCATGGGATTTCAACATGCATTTTTTGCCAGAAAACGATAAATCACTCACAAAATCCTGATGACCTGCAACTCCACAGCAAATGCTGACCCTCGCTTATGTGTTGTTTCCCTATAGATGATCCCAACCTCGCCCTCCAAAATCCAGCAGTCGTTCTAAAGTTTCCCACACGTCCACCTGAAAATCAAGGACTCGATAGAAGAAAGGGGCAGGCATCTCTAGAGGAACGGCTTCGAGATGTTTTGATCCATGTTTGATCCATGTTTATTCTTCTTCAGATTTCAGGCTCCCCCAATCCCAATCCATTCCACTCCCCACCAACCCACCAACCCACCGCACACTGCGGCACAGTCCGCCCGCTTTGAGGCGCTTTCCGCCGATGCGGCAGCCGACGAACGGCCTCAGCGGAGCTACCCGGGTGTTTGCTGGATACGCAGGGACCGGTGCCTCTTTTGATTCGTCCTGGGGCGTTCGAGTGAGGTGACGGAAGAGGTCGGTCGGGTGCAAGAGGATCAATCCTGAGGTGTTATTTTGTTTGGGGCGGGGCGTCCAGTCAATGATGGTGCAGGTGATAGTTCCGAGTGTTGGTGTGCTGATCGTGAATCTAGGAAGCACCACCCTTCCAGATTCGAGGTGTAGGCGAAGCCAAATGCTCAAAGGTGGGGGGGTTGAGATGTGTAGATCTGTATAGATATATCTATATAGAAAGAGGGGGGCTTTTCCAGGCACATCCCTTGGTATGACAATGACTTTGCTCAAGTGGACCTGTTACTTGAAAACGTGGTCAGTGATCCAGAGAAGTGTAGCTGCAGGGGGGCAATCCTTAGCCAATACAAGTGTCCAGAGGCCTAGAATGAAACAACATGCTGACAACATGTATTGTCAGTGTCTATGATTCCTAATGGCCCGGTCTTAACATCTAACCTTTTGAGGGATGATTACATAGAGGTGAAGGAAGATCAACCTTGATTGTCCAAAAACTGAGGAAGTCAGTGTTAAGTGGTGCAGTGTTAAGTGCCCTAGACCAACTCCAACAAAAATATAAAATCCTGTGTTGCACACCCGTACTCATTCCAACTCTCATGACTCTCATGATTCTGAATCTGTAGGTTGTGATATCTCGCGATGATTCGTTTTTTTTGAGGTGTTGGTGGGCCTCGGTGAGTGTGCAGAAGGTGCGGAAACACTTCAGGTCCAAGCCCAAAGAGACTTGGCTTCGGTCCGATCGAGAGATCGGCGTGGGTTGCGCCAGGCACTGAGTTTGGACCCAGAGGCTTCATGGGACTGGAACTTGCCACGCTACATCCAACAGAGGTGGGTCAGAACCCGAACGTTCGACTATCCCAGGAACCGGCTGCACCAGGTTGACGGTCCTATTTACGGTCACTGTCCACCTCTGTAGGATTGACGGAATCAACCGATCGGCAACTATGCCATACATACATTTGATTGTTGAATTATATCTTGAATCATTCATGGTCTGGGATGGTGGCCCGTCCAATGACTTGCCACGCTACTGTACGTGAGTTGAAACTAGTTGAAACCACCAGATTCACCGAAAAACATCGCCAACTTTGGGTTTGAAACCAGACCCCCCTGGCACCACCCCTGGCCGTGAAACTCGGCAGTCTGGCAGTCCCAGACTGGTCGTGTATGGCTTCGCTTTTGTGCCATGGGTTTCACCTGCGGATCCTTCGGGGCAAAATCCATCCCCTGTGGTGAGTAATTAACTCCACTCGATGTGGGAACCTGGGACTCCGCGGAGTTCCCGGGGAGAGAGGTAGATTCAATCCATGGATCTAGAGTCTGTCCCATTCATTACCTCTAACATCTGTTTTTAGAACTAAGGCCTGCAACTGAACCATCATCCTCCACTGGGCCCAGGTCATGGGTATATATATATATATATCGATCTACCCAACATGCCAACATCCGCCGAAACGCAGGGGCCCGACCTTCGCCGCAGTTCCGGACCCGAACCAAACCCTAGTTGGGGCCTGGGAAAGTCTTGCTGAATGCTTCCTTCCGGGAGCTGTGGATCTGCCTATATACCGGATCTCAATGAGAAGAATCACGTTGTAGCAAATCTCCAAAGGAAGATCTGAAACACAATACATATCCAATTAATTAACCAGCAATTTTTGGGTCATTGAGTCATTGCTAAGCGGGCTGAGCTTCTGTACTGTGTGTAGTTTGTCCGAGGACGGCTCGGAGGAGGAGTTGAACCGGAGCTTCCAGGCCACCTCCGATCGCCAGTGCGTCACGACCCAGATCCATGGGATCCGAGTAGAGCAGTCCTTGGCAGTCCTTGGTGTTTCATCTTCGCATCTTCCAGCACCGCGGAGTTCGGGTGGGTTTATGGAGACCCACAAGACTGTAGGTATGTTCGTTATGTTCCATCCAATGGTTAACCCCTTCTGTCGCTGGTTGTTGGGTGATTTGTTTTCCACTTGACATGGGCTGGTCCAGATGGTTTTCAGGAGATTCTCTCACCAACACTCTGTGACAGTGGTGCATGGTTGGTTATTGATTTCATTTAGATTACTTTGATTCTGTTGGTTTCCGAAGGCCATTTGGTTCATGAATTGAATAAACATTAAGCAAAGAGCATCAAATACATTCAAAGACCAGATGAACTGCAAATTGATCGACGACGACGACGACGTCGACGACGACTACTACGACGACGACGACGACGACGACTACTACTACTACCCCTCCTACTACTTTCTACGATCTAGTCTACTACTTTGTGCCGACGGCCGTTCCAGCACTCGTTCCTCACACCTCTTCGACCGTCGCTCGAGGAGGTGGTGGCATGGCTGGAGCACCAGAAGGCGACGCGAGAGACCCGAGACGAGGCACCGAGGCGCGCGGCGCCGTCTTTGGCGCCGTTTTTGGCGCCGTTTTGGTGCTCCAAATCTAACCACCCTGAAATTGGTGGTGCTAGTTCGTTATGCTTTTTGTGTTCGTTATTCTTGTATTTTTTTTGTGATGTTTTTTTTTGTTTTGTGATGTTTTTTTGTGTTTAAATCCTTAGTACATGCCACTGTTCCTCGTGTTCAGATTCTCGCGTTCAATTTGGCCTGATAAAAGGCTTTCGAGACTTGGCTTCACCTCCAGAGCATTTACAAACGGGAGCGAAGAACTCTTTGCAATAGCCATGCATCAGTACATGCATCTATTTACCTCATTATACCTCCATCCGTTTGGCAAAGGCGGGAGGGAGACACTCCCAAACCAGTTTCTATTACTCCAAGGGACCTTAATGCATACCTCGGCCCCACAGATCCACCGCCAGGCCGCGGAAGTGTCCGCGTCCCGAGCGGCCGGTTTTTTTCGCGGACGGCGGGGACGAGGAGCCGCAAAAGAAGACACTTGGCGAAGAGACTCAGAGAGATCAGAGAGGGGCTTTGGACATGTTTAAAAGTGGATTGGTAGCTTGATGCTTTAGATACCAATGGATGGTAGGATTAGGATTGGTAGTTTGGTGCATACCAATGGATTGGTAGGATTGGTAGCTGGGTGCTTTCATGTACAGATACACCTTGACTGTTCAACCCGATGTGGGAATGACTACCCCGAATGACTCATGTTGGGAAGGAGTTTAACCCCTATTGAAACCACTATAACTATTATAACAGTGGTTTCAAGCATGAGATGGAACGAACTCCAAACATATCCAAGTTTGGGGTTCCTTTTTGGGCACCCCCCAACTTGGGGCTAACGACCGTGCCCATCGGTCTACGACCTGCCGACCGACCTGCTGAGCTCGGATGGATTGGAACAAGAGGATGAGGGCACCTCATTTCGTACCTCTTCAGGTTCGGTAGTATGACTGGACCCGAACATGGCACCGGGCTCCGGTCGTCCCACCGAACCGAAGCGCTTCGGTACGACTGGAGGCCTAGGGGAGGGCAACACCCTGAACGAAAGACTGGAGGGTTTTCGTATTTGAAGAGCCTGAGCACCAGCAATGAGTGTTTTCCCAAAGCATGACCTGGTCACCTGGTCAAACCAGGTTGAACTTGGTCAAAGGGTTTTTTGTGAGTCTTCGGAGTCCCTCCTTGCCAGCCTCGCAGCCTCCGAGGCGTCCGCGCGGCGGTCGGTGCGTCGGTTTGCCGCACTTCCAGCCCAAAGAGCCTCATCCGGGGGTGTGCTGGATGCCCAGCAGCCCGACCAGTTTGGATGATGGGGGGGGGGGGTGCAAGATGGGGCAGGCGTGAGAAGTGGCACCGTGTTGCGGACCGTGGCGGTGTTGCATAGATGGTCAGGTGGACAGTTTTTGCTTGAGACGTTCATGTGATTTGGGGGAGTTCTTTGGGTTTGCTTTGCGGGGTCTTGACTCACGAAATCCCATGTAGCAGAATGTTGCAGAGATAGTCCAAACATGTTCAAACCATTTTCTTGTTTGAAATGAGGTGGTATTTTAGACATGCCCCAGGTTTGCACATTAACTACATACTATACCTGTAGCAAAAAATTGGCAACAATTTTTACGAAAGGCTTGAAATTGTCAGGGGGATTGTCGATTGACCTATTTATTTGTGACGTTCCATGGTTTTGCCTAGGGACTGAAAACCGGACCCACTTTTCTGACATTTTTGGACTCCACGACGCTTGGTCATGTCATCGCATGGTGTTGGGGGGGTGGGGGGGTGGGGTGAGGATCAAATTCCCCGCAGTGGAGCGTGTAATGCATAGTATCCCTGGGCCCTGGATTCAACTCACAGTCCAACAAGGTTCACAAGAGCGAGTGGGCGAAGGCGATCGAGCGGCTGTTTTCACACGCTTATACCTTGAGCCAAATATTATGGCATGTCAATGCATTGCGTAAGAGCATATCGCAAGATACTGTAACCAAGTTGAAGCAATAGCGTAAACGCGGGCCCAAAAACAGAAAACATGGGGGGGTGCTGTAATTTCGTTCTTGTTTTCACATACGTCTCATGAGCGTGAAGGCTCAAGACGTAGCCACGGTGTGTGCTGTAGTTTTGTTTCGGTTGTCCGGTGTTCCTTGTCCTCCTCGTTTTTGTGTTTTCTTCCTTTGTGGTGCGTCAGCCCTTTTTCTTTAGAACAGTACGTAGACGGCTTAACTCGTGACTGTTCTGACCCTTGAGTTTCTTTTGTTCACGAAACAGGTTTGGGTTCAGATCGTGGCTGGTAAACTGGGAACAGGTGTTAGAAACTCGTTTTTCGTTGTTCACACTAATGTGTGGTTGAGGTTTTCTTTTTCGAAAAACAGAAACTAAGTCCTTTTCTGTTGGTGACTGTTGGTGTTGAGTTGGCGTTTGTTGCGTAGTTGTAGCAGCTCCATGTCGGATGGGTGCGCCGCCGCTGATTTGCTCGACAACGGCATCGATGAAAAAGACTTTCACACGGAGCCTGCCTGGGGACAGCTAGTTACACAAAAAGCAGGCAACTTGAGGTGTCGCGAAAAAGACGTTTTTTATTTAGGCAAAAGGCATGACAAAGCACTGCGTTTACCAATGAATTTGACATGAGAACCTGCAAAAGAGGGTACGGTTTCCAATCCGTACGGATGTTTTTGGGTGATTCTGGGAATCGGATTGTCCTCTTGTCACATGATTTAGACCAAGCGATGCGAGGCTTGTTTGGGTAGTGGCAGAGGGAATTCCAATGGAGTTGTGTTGTTCAAAGAGTTTGTTTTGGAATGGGTAACCTTTAACCAAACATTATCCAAGGGTCCATGTTCAATCAGTTCTTGAACTGTTCACACACACACACACTCTCTCTCTCTCTCTCTTGTTTTTCATTTTTGGCTGGTGGGATGAAGATTGTCTCTTGACTGCGGACTGTTCAATAGCCGTGGACGTTGAACTGACCTAGTTGAAGACGAACATAGGGTTCCAGGTGGGAAGTCCAGATCTTCTTTTTATCAGAAAACTACCACATAACTTAACGGCTTACTAAGCATGGACATCAGCAAATGACACCTGAAAACTGTTGCCCTCCTCTACTACTGTACTGTACTATTTATTCCCCATGATGTTCCATGATCATGTGTTGTCCTTTTTGTTTGAGCTTTGGTGAGTGCACATGTTATATATATATATATACATGATCAACCTATGGGTCGCAAAAAGCTCTTTCGCAGGCCCTGCGCTCCCAAAACAGTAACCAATATATACTACCATTTGCATCCTAGATGCTGACGAGCCCAACCCCACCAATGGACAACCCCACCCCACGAATTCACGCAGCTGAGAAGGCGGCTTGGCGCAAATGACTGCGGACTCGCGGCTTCGCTTGAGCTCGCGTCCGGCCCAGGCGAGCAATGTTGGAAGGCTGAATTTCGCAAGAACGGCCTTCGAGTGAAGACCAGGCGCCGTGTGGGAGTGAAGGAAAGGGGATGAGTGAAGCAGTGGGCAGAGAAGCAGGGATGGATGACGGGTACGGGCGGATGACATGCTAGTAGAGAAGCAGATGTAACATTTGCTTGTTCCTCCACAGGGTGGTTGCAAGAAGGCTCTGACTCGAAGAAAGCAGATCATCAATTCACGTGTTCAAAATGAAAAACAATAGTTCCTTCAGAATCCATCAGCTTTTGAGGCCCAGATCCCCATGCCATGGACCATCCTCCGCTGGAATCCAGTGAGAATTGGCCAGGAGCAAGCCAAAAGACCACTCAGTCTCTTGGAAAGAATCTTCCACTTGCGGGGGAAGCCTGGGGCCTTTTGGGGCGTGATGGGATGGGAACAACAGCCGCGGGCATGGTTCAAAAGCAACTTGAACGAAAGGGGAGTGCTCCCCCAGGCAGCTCAGCTGATCCCAACAGATTCGTGATTTGGAAGGTGAGATTGTTCTTTGCCACTGGAAGGGTGTCCCCGTGTGGGCATAGTTGCTCGTGGACAGTGCTGAGCTTGAAGCAGCGGCTTCAAGAAACAACTGCTTTGTCCATCAGGTTTACCTGCACATGACCGTCCTGCAGGGATTTGACCTTTCGTTCGCACCCCCGTGGCGAGACGCATCGCCGCGGGAATCGGGCGCCCAGACCATGCATGAAACTGGAAGAATCGTCTCTTAATTTTTACCGTATAGGATCATGGAACGGGGTAGGAGGGTAGATGCATGCAAGATGTCCATACATCATGGACGGTTTGGGTTTGGCATGGATATTGGCCCCGTAGCTCCAGTGCACGTTGGATCTTTGAGGAGGAGGAATTGGAGCGAAGCTTTCAGGAGAGAGGGATCACCACGGGTTTGACGCTGCAGTGGTTTCGGGGCGGGTAATGACTGCTGACTCTGGATGGTCCAAGCCCCTCGATGGTCACTTCTTAGGCCTCGATGGTGCAACATCTGATGGTCATAAGTATAAGTTGTTCATCCCCTAGAAGTCCAGTTCGACTATATTTGGACCAGCTGAAGTAAAGGATGTTCCCTTTCAGTTCCCCTAAAGACCATTCTTTTTATAGTCTTTGACTCCCAGGGCATCAACAGTCCATGATGTGTTTATTTGGTCCCTTCTTTTTGCAAATTGCTAGTCGTCAATCATGGTTTGCTACTAGCGATGGCCTCCAACCTAAGAGCGATGGCCGACAGAGGCGCCTTTACTTCGCACTTTGCATTTGCAGTGCCATCAGGAGGCTGTACGCTGGTTGAAACAGCAGAAGGCCGCTGACGACCAAGCAGTTCCTGCGGTTGCTGCGGCTCCTGCGTTCGACGGAGCAGTGTGCGAGCGCTTGGCAAAGAGTGGCTGGAATGAAGTCCTGGAGAAGAGGGGAGTCCAAGCGCAGAGAAAATTATTATGGAATAATGAGTGGTTACTCGCAAACTTTGTGCAGAAGGGGAGTGTCGCTCGGATTGGGGGTTGCAGTCACTGAGTTATGAAATGTTAGGACTTGTTTCAATGGCAAAGCCCGGTGATAAATCCACACGCATCCTTTGAGTACCTGCATGTGGCATGTTGCTTTCGTGGGCTGCAGAGTCTGCGGCTAGGCTTGTAGAAGGGCCACAGGAGCTGTTGAATTGGTTTATTAAGAGTTGGAATTTCTGTATCAAATCGCTCTTCAAGCTTCAATGTTAGTTACTGTAGTTAGTTAGTTAGTTAGTTAGTTAGTTGGCTATTAATGTATTAGCTATTTTTACAATGTTTTACCCTTCAACGCGCGGTGGATCCCAACTGCCCATCCGTTTGGAGTGCGTGACCCTCCAAGCCCACCAGTTCTCAGCAGGTATGTCCCCCCACAAGACGCAGGTGCGTAAATACCCCGCAGCCCTGGTCTATAAACACATATAAAAACACAAGGGTTCACTTGTAAAGCCGAGGTCAACAAGAACAATATTGCTTGTTCAAGATGTTTGTTGTCCTGCATCTTTCGTCACCCAGTGTCCCAGGTCACAAGGGCATTTGCTGGGCACATCAGGCATCGGGATTTGCGTCGGCGTTGATGGATAGATACATTTTACCCAGGGGAACTGGCAACGATTGTTTTTTTTAATAAGATCACCGCCCATAGACCATTCATGGAACTGCAATATTATTTACATGCATTCTTGGATGACCGTTTTGTAAATCGTCCAACCATGTCCAGTCCCTTTGATATTGGGATGGCAAATGGGCTTCAAAAGCGAACCTCGGTGGAAGATTCCTTCCGCGAACCGGTTCCCTCCGTGCGAAATCGCAGGAGGGCTGCTGGAAGGCCGAGCGACAGGTGAAAGGACTGAAGAAGCAGTTCAAGGCGAGGTCCGACGGAGGTGGAGGGTAGCTCCGTCCGAGGATTTGAGAGTTGCTTTCTTCATACCTGAGAGAGATGAGGTGAAGAGGGAATAACAGAGACCTAAAATGTATAGGATCATGACCAACAGGTCTCTGACATGGTGGCTGAAATGGAGACTTAAAGGTGGCAGGTGGTGACCTAGCTCGAGTCGGGTGAGTGTGTCGGGTGCCCAGGCATGCAAAGAGGGTGCTTTTGATAGTCACTGCTTGGTTTCCAGGTGTTGTCTTCAAGTGGTTGTCGTCTTGGATGATGTTCGGTGTGTTTGTGTTCGCCACTTCTTGTTTCACTGTTTTGAGGTCATGCACCTTTTGGTTAGTTGACATTGCACTTGTCTTGCCCCGGTTTGTGACGCAACAGTCCAAAAGATCACCCAAACTCCGATTTCTCTTGGTGTTTGTTGATTAGATCACTACCAAGTCAATCACTTTCATACTTTTTCTCCACTGGCTCCACATTTCCTGCCTTCCTTGCTCCACTGGGCCCTGCTTTACCTCGCCGCGGGTGCCGGCCAGGTGAAGCCCAAGAGTTCCTCACGGGAGGAGTCAGTCTTTCCACGTCGGTCCCGGTCGCGGGGCAATGGGGCAATCCAGGGAGCGTTTGTTTGTTTTGTTTTGTTCAAGTTCTTCCCTGTGAAACAGGGAGCCGGAATGGCAGCCTCAATCCGGCCGGGTGATGAGTTGTTGGGCACTGTCACTGGATGTATGTATACTTGACTTGTGTGTGCCCCAGGCTGAGGAAGATGTTCTGGGAGGAGTTGGGGGAGGGAAATATATGCTGGTGGTCAGGGATAGTTACAACACTTGAAGCCTGGAATTGAAGATCACGTGAGGTTTGTTGCATTCTCCCCAGGTTTGTGTTTATATGCAAGGAGTTGGAGCGAGCCTTTCAGGAAGCAGTTTCCTGGCATGACGGAGTTCCGGGGGTTTGGCTTTAGAGCCGCTGGCGTCAGACCCAGGAGCCAGCACGTTGCCATGGTGCCCGGGGATCATTCTGTATGGGACATGGGACAGGGTTTCCTGCAATTTGCTTTGAACTTATGATACGTCTCGATTTGTTCCTGCTGAGTTGGTCCTGCTGAGAACAACCGACCGGGTCTGTGGGGGAATTCGAGGTGTTTTGCTTGTCTGGTGCCATGTGAGGAAGGTCGTCTTTGATGCGCCAATAGGAGGAGACAACGCATTCTCATTCCACCGTGGCGCAACAAAAACCGCCATGCAGTGCTTCCATAGAAAAACGGTACTGAAGGCCAAACGCACGGTTTACCACGGCTGAAATGACCCATCGAAGACCTCATCGGTCCCATATCAATCCAACACGTCACCACACACAACTGAGTCCCATAGATTTCCAGGTACCTCCTGAGGATGGTCTTAGAGGTGAAAGTACTTCCAGAGAATGGTCTTTGGGGCCTGGCAGGACATCCGATTCGGATGGTCCTGGACCCTTAGGGAGTTTCATGCAAGCTTGCCTTTGTGTGAGGCCTTTAAACATGCAAAGGATCAAGTACACAGCTTCCCCTACCTTTGATCCTCCATCCTATATAGCTTGTCCCGACCACATATCTCACCAACACCTTTTCTGGATGTTCCTTCGCTTCCAAAAGTCCGAACTTCCATAGGACCTTCCACTCACCTTCACCCACTCAGAGAAAAACTGCATCACCAGAGAAACCCAGAGAAAAACCTCAGAGAACCGCCATCACCTGAGGTCGCCTGGCTCCGCAGCGGCGCTGACGCCGCGGATGTGGCGGAGCGGAGAGCGCCGGACGTGGTGGCGGTGGCGCGGTGTCGACGGAGGAGGAGGAAGGTGGAGCCAAAGGAGAAACAGATGCTGGGCAGCATTCCGGGGCGAGAAGGGATGAGAAGGGTGTTTTGTTTGGTCCATAGTAATAGTATGGTCCCATGCCTTGTAGTACACCATGGAAATGCTGGGCAGCGTTTCTGTCACGCTTTGGTCCTCGAATCTGACCAAACTGTTTGATGAGGGGTTGCTGAAACGTTGGGAAAGGCTGCCTGTTGAATCCTCTTCATGTGTGCAATTCCACTGCTCATTTTGTCGATTTTCCAGCATCACCTCACAAATAGCTCCTCATAGATCCTCCCCAAATTCCCAGAGCCTAAAACACCCCACACCTCTCACGCGGTGTCATCACCCTCCACCCGCCTCGATCAGGCGCGGCATCTGCTGGGCTCAGCGCGAAGCCTGTTGGATCGCCCGCCTCACCGACCCCCAAACCGGCCAGCGCCGCTTCCGGCGCGCGCGGCCGAGTGAGCTGACGGAGACCGACCGACCCGCGGGGGGGGCGTCGCGAGGCTGCTGGAGGCTGGTCCCTCTCTCCGAAGTATCCCCTGCAAAAAGCGTGGGATGAGGTGGAAGGTCGGTTCTTGGTTCTTTCTGGATCGGCTTCTCCCAAGGCCAGGAGGAGGTGAAAAAGAAAGGAAAGAAAGGCGTTTCAATTAGTGAATTAGTGTAGCGTTCCTTTTTGGGGGGAGAGCTGACCTGCAATTGCTGCAAATGGTTAATGTCGGAACTCAGTTTGAGGACTGCATGTGTCCAGCTACTGTAGTGAAGAACAGGAAGTTCGTGGAATCAGGTCCTTTTGGTTTGAAGATTCCCTTTTGGAGCCGTTGACGCACGAAGCGTTTATATCTAACTACACACTCCCTGAAGTATTCATGGAGGTGGAACATGGCCCGTAGGATGACCATGAAATCACGAAAGCTAGCAGCAGCTATCTGAAGTTTTCCTTGCTTTAGCAAGTGAGGGGCTGGAATCCTCGAGATCGCCGCATCACGTGAAAACTTCATATGTAGAGGGCCCCCCCCCTGCGGGTTCAACCCGACGCCCCTGGGACACCTCTTGGACACCTCTTATGGCATCCACTTTGGTTCAACTCCTCCGTGGAGGTTTTGGGATACGATGCAACAGATTCAACGGAGTCACAAGCTAAGGTTGGCTGTGTCATTGCTGTTCGTGTGTCTTACATGTTCACATCATTTTACCTCATGAGCGAGACCTTGTGAACCATCCCTCCGACCCCATGCCTATGAAAAAAAGATTTGCCTCACTCCGCTTGATGTCCCACCAATCCTTTGTCACTGGACGGCGCTGTATGCTTCGCCTCCACTGACACGGATGCATCCCTGCTAGCTTTGGTCACCTACCCTCGGCCTCAAGTCCGAATACCAAACTGGTGGTGCCATTCACTTCCATGATAACTTTTTCAGGGAGTGCAGGTGTTTGGTGCAGGGTATTGGGACGTATTGGGTTAAACAATTGAACATGTTTGCTGTTTGCCTTTCTGCGCTGCGTTCTTTTTCTGGACATTCGTTTTTTTGGGGGGGCAGGAGGAGAAGATTGAGGAAGCCTTCCAAAAAGCCGCCGGATGGTTGCAGAAGGAGAAGGCGAGACAACAAATCATGCCATCGAGGTGACAGATCGCGCGGTAGAACAAGGAGAATTCCGGAAGGTGGAATCCAATTCGTGCGACTCTCCTCCCTCGCTTGTTAGGGTCTCGCTGGTCAGTTCGTGGCGGGTAGGGTTTTTGTGGATGCGTCCCCTGAACGCGCTGGTCAGGGCCATGGTGTTGTTGTTGTTGTTGTTGT